GGTGACGTTTCGTCGGGCGGAGGGGGGCGCCAGCGTGCGATGGCTGCTGCAAAGACAGATGATGAAATAATCCTCATTGAAAGAGAAATAAAAGAGTTTTGGACCAATTTAAAAAACGTTTATGGCGCTGAACAGATTAATGAGACGTTAGCGCTGAGAGATTCGTGCAAGGAGTCCATAAAGGCACTTTCAGGTAAAAAGGCACCGTGTTCTTGTTACCTCTGCTATTTTCAAATTATCATCAAACTTTAGCTAACTGAAATAACTTTCCATTGCAGAGAAATGGTCCAAGAAGCTGAAAGAAGGGGACCTGATGATTGACAAAATTCAGGAGTATAGCAATGGTACAGTATGTGACTTTATTTATTGTGTCTTAACATTTCTAGAGTTAGTACAGCTGAATAATATGTTTTATTTCCCATTTTAAAATGTAAATAACATCAGAATGAAGACAGAATTAAAACCAAACATTTGGGAAGGTTCATCGATAATGCAAAAAGATAAAGATCAGGTGAAAGTTTTCTCTAGATTGGTTTTGGTGCTTAAGTATTTCAAATAATGAAGTACCTATTGCTGACTGCAATAGGAAAAGTAAATAAATTGCTTAGTAAACTCAAATATTGCAAGGTTATTTATGGCTCTTCCATATTAGTTACAGAATACAGTCAGCCTATCAGTTCAGGATTAACTACTCAGAATTTTGTAGTTAAACTTCAGAATATCAGGTAAAAATAGCTGCAACTCTAATATCAGTGTTTCCATTCCTTGCTTTCTATCAAATTACTTGTCTGTGGACAGGATCCACCATCCTCATGCTTTTAATCACAGAATGTTAGGGGTTGGAAGGGACCTCAAAAGATCACCTAGTCCAACCCCCTGGCCAGAGCAGGATCACCTTGAGTAAGTTACACAGGAACATGTCCAGGTGGGTTTTCAATGTCTCCAGAGAAGGAGACTCCACAACCTCTCTGGGCAGCCTGTTCCAGTGCTCTGTCACCCTCACAGGGAAAAAGGTTTTCCTCATGTTTATGTAGAACCTTCTATGCTCCAGCTTGCACTCATTGCCCCTTGTCCTATCACTGGACATCACTGAGAAGAGCCTGGCTCTGTCCTCCTGACACTTGCCCTTTACATACTTATAAACATTAATGAGGTCGCCCCTCAGTCTCCTCCAAGCTAAAGAGACCCAGCTCCCTCAGCCTTTCCTCATAAGGGAGATGTTCCACTCCCTTCATCATCTTTGTGGCTCTGTAGTGGACTTTTTCAAGCAGTTCCCTGTCCTTGAACTGAGGGGCCCAGAACTGGACACAATATTTCAGATGTGGCCTGAGCAGAGTAGAAGTGGAGGAGAACTTCTCTTGACCTTGTAACCACATCCCTTCTAATGCAGCCCAGGATGCCACTGGCCTTAGCCACAAGGGCACATTTCTGGCTCATGGTCATCTTCCTGTCCACCAGGACCCCCAGGTCCCTTTCTCCTACACTGCTCTCCAACAGGTCAGCCCCCAACCTGTACTGGTACATGGGGTTGTTCTTCCCCAGATGCAGGACTCTACACTTGCCCTTGTTATTTCATCAAGTTTTTCCTCACCCAATTCTCCAGCCTGTCCAGGTCTCACTGAATGGCAGCACAGCCTTCTGGTATGTCAGCCACTCCTTCCAGTTTTGTGCCATCAGCAAACCTGCTGTTGGTGCACTCTGTTCCTTCACCCAGGTCATTGATAAGTATACTGAATAGTACTGGTCCCAGTACCGACCCCTTAGGGACTTCACTAGATACAGGCCTCCAACTAGACTGTCCCATCGACCACAATTCTGACTTACCAGTTCACAATCTACCTCACTACCTGATCATCTGGGCCACACTTCCTCAGTTTAGCTACGAGGATGCTGTGGGAGTTGGTGTCAAATGCTTTACTGAAATCAAGATAAACCAGATTCACTGCTCTACCATCATATATCCACCTGGTTATGTCCTCATAAAAGGCTATCAGGTAGATTAAACATGACTTCCCCTTGGTTAAACCATGGTGACTGCCCCTAATGACCCTCTCATCCATGATATGCCTAGAGACAGTACCAAGGATAAGTAGTTCCATCACCTTTCCAGGTATGGAGGTGAGGCTGACTGCTCTATTGTTACCTGGGTCCTCCTCCTTACCCTATTAGGAGACAAGTAACATTTGCTTTCTTCCAGTCCTCAAGCACCTCTCTTGTTCTCCAATACTTACCAAAGGTGATGGAGAGTGGCCTAGCAATGACTTCTGACAGCTTCCTCAGCACCCACAGGTGAATCCCATCAGGAGCCATTATAGATGCCCACATTGCTTAATTGATCCCTAACCCAGTCCTCATCAACCAAGGCAAACTCCCCCTTTTTCCTGACTTCCTTTGGGGCTCCTGAGGACAGTCTCCAGCAGTTAAGACAATGGACTCCAGTAACTCCACTTTTTTTGTATCCTCTGTCACCAGGGCACCCACCTCATTCAGCAATGACCCTATACTGCCTCTAGTGTTAAGTTTTTTTGCAGGGCATTTGAAGAAACCCTTTTTCTTGTCCTTGGGCCTCTTTTAAAAGGTTTAACTCCAAGGAAGCCTTAGCTTTCCTAGTTGCGTCCCTACATCCTCTGACAACAGTCCTATATTACTCCCAAGTGGCCAGCCCCTCCTTCCATGATCTATAAACTTTCTTCCATTTGAGTTTGCCTAGCAGTTCCCTCTTTAACCATGTGGGTCTCTGGCTCTCTTTCTTGATTTACTACCTGTTGGGATGTGCTGATCTTGAGCTTGGAAGAACTGGTCCTTGAATGTTAACCAAATATCTTGGGCCTCTTTACCTTCTAGTACCCTGTCTCATGGAATTTCCCCTAGCAATTGCTTAAAAAGGCCAAAGTTGGCCCTGCTGAAATCCAGGGTCATGATGCTTGGTATTCTGTTCCTACTGCACAAGATCTTGAACTCCACCATCTCATAGTCACTGCAGCCAAGGCTGCCCTCAACCTTCACTGCTTCAACCAGGACCTCCTTGTTAGTGAGGATAGATGTATATAGTGTTGGCACGAGAAACAAGTGGCATCTAACTAAAGCATCAGAGGAGCTCTCTCCTTAGTAGCTTGTCTTTTGAATAGCTTTCACTTTGAGCTTTTATTTTTTAGTACAGATATGCTGACTTTTCAGGTGCCATAGCATGCATTCCACTAGGTTTTATTCAAAATTAGTCCTCTCAAACTATATAGGTAAGTACTAAACCTCAGGGACCTAATTAATCAACGGTATATATTCATATATTCTTGCCTCCCTTCAGAGATTCTCCAGCAGAACCAACGCGTATCAGAAAATCAAGAGCGTTTTACAGAAATGAAATCTAACCTAAATCAAGAAGAGAAGCAAAAGAAGGACTTGATCGACAGCATCCGAGAGCTTAAAGAAGAGCTGATGAAGAAAAAGGAATGTAAGTAAGCAAAGGATGATAAGCAGATTTTCTTAAAGAAGTAAATGTTTTCAACATGTGTGCTTGATGGCCTTTTCTACTGACCTAAATATTTTATATGTGCTTGTGTTGCCTTTACTTTGATATTTATGGTGTCTTTTAAAATTCTAGTGATATCTGCTAAAAACAAAGCTGCTAAGGAGAAAGTGGAACGACTGTGCAAGGCTAAAGCATTGTATGAAGAGCGGCTTGGACTAGAAATACGCAGAATTCACAGTAAGTTTCTATAGTTTCCTTATTTCTGTGTGCAGTGATACAGTGTGGTTAATGTTGGATTGTGCAGTGAAAAAAATTGTAGCTTACACAGCTGAAGAATTTTCCCAGGCCAGGTATTACCATTGTCTCTCAAATGGCAAAAATATGGTATGTTAAAATGCATTTGTCTTTCAAAGAGATGAAATTTGCTTGATATGCAACTATTCTAAGAATATTAAATGAAACTCTAGCTTAATAATGTGATTTTTAGTTGTCATTGTGACTCTCCAGCAGAGGTTAATAGTGTTAATTCTGTTTGTGTTTTTTTTAGATGAACAATTACAGTTTATATTCAGACACATTGACCACAAAGATCCTGACAAGCCATATATGTTTACCCTTTCCATAAATGAACAAGGTGAATATGAAGGTATGTGAATTTTGAATACTTAAGAGGACAGAATCTGATGCCCTTATTTGAAAAAGGAGAGGAGTAAAGTCAATTTTAATTGTAACCTTTATCTTCCAATTTCTGAAAGAAAAGCCTTGCAATGGTAATATATTTTTAAATGAAGCTTCTCTTTTTCATTGATATGAAAATACAACTGCTTATCTTTATTTCCCTCCGTTTGTGGAGTTGCTGTTTACTTTGCAGCAGGCAAAGCAGGAAAGAGAAGAGATAATGCAGATGGACAGATGCTTCAGTTTGTAGTTTGTTGCTTCTTCTCTTTATGCTAGAGTTTTAATGCTGACAGGCATAACTCAGCCTGTTTGAGAGAAGCCTACAGGGCAGAAAAAACTAGTTTCCCACTATCGTGGGGATTTGAGTATTGTGCAGAGTAGTTTCTAGATGGATGTTACTGTTGCTCTGCTGTGCCTCTAGGTACAGACTGAATTGATTTTGGGTTTTATTTTTTCAGATCTAAACTGTGCTGAAGATAAAAGTTTATCACATGCTGGGCTATATCAGTTTTCAGTCTGCCTGCATAGCAACAAAATTGTTTAGGAATGTGTTTAACTATTTTCAGCACTGGAACAGCTTTGTTTTTAGCAGGTATCACTAGAATTTTAAAAGACACCATAAATATCAAAGTAAAGGCAACATTACTGGAAATTGCTGTAACAATTCAAGCACAGCACTGGGTAGGAGGTCTAGAAATGAAAAAAAGATGGTGTATTCTTTGAGGCTGTGTCTTTGCTGGAAGAAATTTATTTAATAGGTTACTCAAATAATACTGATTAAGCTTAAAACATACAGAGATAAAGTACATTTGTATTTCATAAGCACAGAAAAACACTCATCTTTTATTTTGGTATAATAGTCTAATATTTTTGAAATTTCTGTCATTTTAGTGACTTCCTGTACTCCTCCTCTGGATTGTATAGCAGAGTTCCAGCTCAAAGTGAGAGAAACTAACAATTTTTCTGCATTTGTTGCCAACATGAGAAAAGCTTTCACTGCTTTATCTTACAAATAGTATGCATGAAACTAGATTATACCTCCCTTTCTAGTTGTAGAGCACATTTTTCTTTCCTTCCTACATTGTGAAAGTATGTATTTATCCATGCCTTACTCTAATTTCTCAACAAAGAAAAGTAATGAAAATAGAATTTTAGTCTGTAATCTAGAGACATTTTAGATGATTCTTCAAATAACAGTATCATCAACCAGTCTTCAGACATGTAAATTTTGATTCAATAGCAAATAGCTTAATTATATTTAGCTACATCAAGAAGATATTAAAGTACTTTCTGTAATTTATGTCTCTTTTCCTAAAGCATAGGAGTGTTTTTCAGGTTTTATATGGTTGGAATAGGCCCAAAACCTACTAAAATAATGCACTGGAGCTAGGCAATTACTTAATTCACCTGTATCAAAGGTCGCCGTTTTGTTTTTTACCCTGTCTTGTACTCTCCAGTCTTATCATGCATTTTCATACATGTAAATAGTTGTTTTTATTTTGGCCCTTTTAAACTATGTATCTTACTGCCTGTTTTAGATTCTTGTCTGGATGCCGAGTTCTGTTAGTAACAAAATCATTTGACTTGCATGCTACTTTTGAATAAAAGTTTCAATAGAAATAAGTGGAAACTTTGTATTATTTTGATCAGAAATTCCACAGACCTGAAACAGAACCCTGCTGTAACCCAGATTCCTGGCTCCCACAATACCCAGCTGGGCAGAAAAGCTGGCCTGAAACTTGACCTGCAATGGTGAAACATAACACTTCAAAATTTATACAGCATGTGCCTACATTAGCATTTTTTATCAGAGTGGACTTTTGAAATTGCTGTCCTGATCCTCACCACTCTGGTTCACATCTCAGTTGCAAACTGCATTCCTTTTGGAAGGCAAGTTAATCTGGGAGATGCATACATAACTTATTACTGCTGTTAATATTACATAAAGGACAGACCAGAGCTGGTCCAAACCAGCATTTGGTGTAGATGTTGGTCTTCTCATTTACTAATGTAACTATAACAGCACTTGCTGTTCTTGCCCAACTTATGATCTTGGCTTGGCCAAGAAACCAAAATAACACCTCCCCCTTCCTTTGTTCCTATGCCTTCATCAGCTTCCTAATATGTAAACCTGGCCCTTGAAGCACATGTGAATCTGGTGATTCTGACAAGATACTCTTATTATGGCTTAGACTATTGCCCAGACTGATGTGAACTGTATTTGAAATCTCTTTGCCTAAAAGTACAACTTGCTACATACAGCAGAGACTCTGCACTCCATCTTCTGTGAGACAGCTGAAGTGCATCTTAAAAAAAAAAAAGTAATTAATGCTGCTGTTTTTTATAACATGCTACAACATATCTCCAAAAAGAAGATAACATTCAATTTTTTCTTCCCTATAGAGAATAACAGGGAATTTTCTAAATAATGCAACATTTTAGTTGGTATGCCCTGTTTATTCTTTTTCTTGTGCTACAGCCAGCTATACACAAAAAAGAACAGTCAGAATAGTAAAGGTGCCACCTGCAATTTTAAAACAAAGTGGCAGCAGAGGTTCCTAGGCTTTTCTATAATGACATTTCAAATAAAATACACCCTCAATTTCTGCCCTGCCCATAAGTCCCATGTACTCTGAGAATTTTTTTAACTGACAGTGGAATAGAGGCATAAGCTGGGAGACTGCTTTCAAGTACTGGATCTAGTTGTTCATTAGCACATTTTGCCTCCTTTTTGACCATACTAACATAATATTTAAATTGCAGGTTTTTCTTTCTCTTATTTGCTTCTACCACCAAAAGAATGCTGTAGGCACTTTTATGCAGGTCAGTAGACTAGCTAGTAGTTTAAAAAAGCTTCATTCAGCCAACTCTGCAACTCCTGCTTCTATCTTCTCTCCCAGGAGCTACAAGTGCTGCATTATCCTGCTTTGGTGGTATCTCCTCTTCCTTCCTCACACATAAGCCCTCACCTTCTGTGTTAAAAAGCCCATCCCTTCTGGTTTCTCACCAATGGCATCGCCCTTCTATCCACAATGACTTTATTAATTTTGAAGCACACTCCTGCCCTTCTCCAGCTGCCCCCACCAAGTATGTTACAACTGTTCAGAAGCAAAAAGGCAGCCAAGACACAGACACCTTGTTTCCTTATTTTCAAATGGAGCTGTTCAGTCGCTAAGGATGTACATACTGCTCAATGCACTCTGTGGCATATCCGATTTGATTATCATCTTCATAGAAGAAAAAAACTGAAACAGGCCCTGAGTAACACAAATGCTCAGACTTACTGCCATTTTCTTTTCATGTTCATCCTAGGCATGAGTAATTGGTTTATTGCTTTTAACAAAGTTACTTTGCCAAAATTGCTATGCACAGAACATAAAATACATGACAACTACTGCACTGGAATTTACATTTCTAGGAACTGCTTGCTAGAAAAGATGATGTGCTTGGCTGTGTATGTTCTGTACTTATGCCTAAAGGAAGAAGTAAAGTTTGAAATAATTATTGTGTATAATTTAAACCTTTACAGCTCTTTTGAAGTGTGAATAGTGAACCTGCTTGTATTTGCCAAGGCAAATGAGATGCAGATCTTACTCTAAAACAGAGCCAGGCATTCCAAAAGCAGGTAAAAGCTAGAAAAATTTATATGGTAGCTGTATTTCTCTGCTTATAAAATGCAAACTAAAACTGGCTTGTGACATCCCTAAAACAGCCTTTATGTTAGCTGAAGATGTGTCTTAAAATCTTTGTGCCTTTATCAAATGCACTTAGTGCTTATGGAATTTCACACAGTTGGATCTGTGGCAATTTAGAATTTTGTATTTGTTATAAAGATGCACAATACAGCAATATTCAACAACAGTAAGAACAACTAGGATAGTACTATATGCTGACCCAACAGACAAAATAATTGGGAACCCAGCGTACTGAATAGCATATAAATGCAGACTGAAATGGCCCAAAAAGTATATGGGAAAGCTGTGCAAAAGTGGTATGCATCTTAGGGACTATGGACACACAATCAACCATCCTGCTCCAGCTGGTGCTAGCGCTGCACCTATTAGCAGAATCAGGTTTTCTTAAGGCAGACATAGATTTTACTGAAGGTTAGTAAAAACATTTTTCATAGAACAGTTTGCCCAACCTTGAACATTGCTTTCCATTCCAACCTGCTGACCTGTACTTAGCAACCAAGGATCAAGCTTGAAATGTGTGGTCCATCAATGAATGCTGACCATACAGAGACTGGCTGATGTACTGGTGCTCAGCATCTCATCACAATTATCTCCTAATAAACTGTAAAAATCTGGAAAAAAAGGTGTTGAATTTATTAGGTATCAGAAATCCACTGTGAATTTAAGGACTGCTGGGAAGACAAAACAGTATTAAGCATTAATAATATATGTACCAAGTGCAATTGTTTTATGTATGCTAGCTGCAGGTCAGATCTGAAAAGAAACTGTATGACTGTAAGATTCCCAGCTGAAAGAACAGTTTTATTACACATCTACTCAACCAAGAGTGGAGGTGGTTGACCCGAGTTTGTTGGTGTTTTTCATAGACCCTCTAGGATGTTGCTAGACATATTTTAAAAAGCAAAACCAAACAAGTAATAGCTATACTTGTGAAAACTAAGGAAGCCATGGAAGTTATGCTGTGCTGCTGTTGAATTCCAATCATATTACCTACTGTGTCCTCCAATGCTTCAATAAGCTTCATGAATTTATTCAGTACCTTGATATTGTCTAAATTAGTCCTGTCATAATACTCTAAAATCAGTGAACTAATTTGTGAGTGATGTCTAACTTTTTAAAAACCCCTCTGAACTCAATATAACAATCATACACACACATAAATCACTTAGTCCCACAAGCAGACTACAGTACATTTTTTCATTGCATGACAACCTTAGTAAACAATTATGATAATACTCTTACCTTTTTGAAAGCAATAGTTGTAATCCAATCAGGCTTTACTGCTGAATAGGATTGTATTCTTGAAAGGTTGGGGGGAATGGCTCTGATTGCCAGACAGTGAGACCCTGTTCTTTTTGTCCTTATTATCCGTACTCACACTAACAAATACAAAAAACCCCTTGGAATCTTGAGCTTATAAACAAGTTGTTCAGCAGAAGCAGACATACCTAAGCCTGATTTCCTACAGATCTGTGGTTTTGTCCTTAAATGGTGTCATTCTCTTCACTACCATATCCCAGCTCTTCTTTGGTCTCCCAGTGGATGAGAGCCAGCACCACTCTGAGTTATGCGGGTTTAGCCTCTACTCGGCTGCTGATAAAGCCACAGGACAATGGATGCACTTTGCTTACCCTGCCTGCAGTGCACAGCATGATTTGTCATTCTCTCCTTTACCTGGTTGCTCATTTTTAGTACATTGTAAGGACACTGATAGCTGCAACGCAATCTCCTTTTCAAATTTGGGCTGACTGAGCAATGGATTCAAAAGTTGTTACGGGAACTGGTATGACTCTGCTAAAAATAGTGTTTAATCAATGTAAGTGCACACTGTTTTTTATATGACCATATATATATATTTCAAAGTGGCTATGCACTGAAATGATTAATTGAAAGCAGATACAATCAGTGTTAATTTGATTTCCCCCCTCTTCAGTCACAGCATGTTGAACAATGCTAATTGGTATTGACTCACCTGTTTTGTGACTGTTTGATGGATAATTCTTTACATGGAAACATGCTGTGACTTGCCTCAATGGATTCTTTTGCACTGGCTACTAGATCAGGGCCTCAGTTCCTCACTGTCCAGTATCCTCTGCACAGCTTCAGCTGGAATAACTGGCTTGGCACAGAAATAGGTCTGTTGAACAAACAAGAACTATACATCATTATTGTTCTCATTTAGAAGCATGCTATACTTACTTCACATTGATGTCAACTATCATAAAGGATTCCAGGCATTTAAGAGCAGACTGCATACACTGAACTTTTTTGGCTAAGTGAGGAGCTGGTGGAAGTGACAGAAAGGTGACCTTGTGGGTGGTGTACTAGCTGTATAAATCAAAGCACAATACATTCATGTAAATGCTTACCTCACAGGTTAAAATTAAAAACTGGCAAATAACTAATACTTAACTTTCCAAATTAAGCTAACAAGAGAATAATTGGCTTGTCT